TGCACTCCCTGAGGAGGCGGATGGACGCAACGGGCCACTGCTGGTACCAAAGCTCTGGTTCCTGGTGGAGTCCAGTCGAAGGAAGGAAGTCCACTCTGGGTCCCTTCGTGGTCGCCATAACTGTTGACTAAAGAAGACATACAACTTGAGAGTTGCGAGTTAAGTTTTATTTGGGACAAAATGAGGACTGCAGGGAGGCAGCATCTCAGATAGCTCTGAGAGACTTCTCCAAAGCGGCAGTGGGGGAAAGTCAATGCATAAGGTTTTGGAGAAAGTGAAAGTGAAGTCGCTCAGTCGTGTCCGACTCTTTGCGACCCCATGGACTCTAGCCTACCAGGCTCCTCGGTCCATGGGATTCTCCAGGCAAGAATACTGGAGTGGGTTGCCATTTCCTTCTCCAGGGGAATCTTCCGGACCCGGGGATCGAACCCAGGTCTCCTGCATTGGAGGCAGACGCTTTAACCTCTGAGCCACCAGGGAAGCCCAAACTAACAGCTGAGACATCGCTAGATGCAAAGCCGAGTTAGGTTCTAGAGAAGGAGGAGTTCAATACCATGAAGCACTCATTTTGCAAAAGGATTTTTGTTAGCTACGAGGATCTATCTGATGTCACCATGAAGGGATTTAGTGCTTCTCTAGATATGAGGAGATGCAAGGATTGAGATCATAAAATCCATTCCTAAAAACCTCCAACTATCTAAAGACCTGTCCCACCAGATTGCCTGGAGCACAGAGCGCCTCACTCCGCCCTGAGCTCCCTCAGGGGTGGTTGGAGGTCACCAGCTAGAGCAGCAGGGGTTCAGTCATAGAGGCAGATGGCAAATGCCCTTGTTGTTCATTCATTGGCAGTGATCTTGGTAAGTGCCCATTTTTAGTTGCCATGATGATGCCTGATTTTTTTTAAAGTTTATTGGACCATTTAAAAAGTCTTTATTGAATTTGTTACAATATTGCTTCTATTGTTTATGTCTGACCTTTTGGCCGATGAAGCCTGTGGGATCTTAGCTTCCCAACAAGGCATTGAACCCTGCCCCCCTTCATTGGAAGGTGAATCTTAACCACTGAACCACCAGTGAAGTCCTGATGCCTGATTTTTAAAAGTCTAAATTAGATCATTTCCATTTGCTGTTGTTCAGTCACTCAGTTGTGTCCGCCTCTTTGCGACCCCAAGGACTGCAGCATGCCAGGCTCCTCTGTCCTTTGCCATCCCCCGAAGCTTGCTCAAATTCATGTCCATTGAGTCAGTGATGCCATCTGACCACCTTGTCCTCTGTAGTCCCCTTCTCCTCCTGCCTTCAATCTTTCCCATCATCAGTGTCTTTTCCAGTGAGTTGGCTCTTCGCATCAGGTGGCCAAAGTATTGGAGTTTCAGCTTCAGCTCCAGTCCTTATAATGAATATTCAGAATTGATTTCCTTTAGGATTGACTGGTTGGATCTCCTTGCAGTTCAACAGACTCTCAAGAGTCTTCTCCAGCACCACAGTTCAATACCGTTACTCACTTCCTAAATAAAGTTTCAACTCTATTCCTCTCTCTCGGCTTATGTTACTGTCATTCACAATTTTACTTACACTCTGTTTTTATACCCTCCAAATCAGTCTCATTCACTATTATTATTATATTATTATTGCTTTATACAGACATTTGTTTTTATTTACTCATACATTTATCCACTTATTTGTTCACATAAGTTTCTGTCCTTCCCTCTATGGAGAATTTCCTTCTTCTGATGGCATATCCTTTAGACTTCCTTCAGTGAAGGTCTGTTAGTGAATAATTCTGTTTGTATTATTTTGAGTGACAGCTAGCTTTTTGCCATCTGTCTTCTGGCTATCATTATTGCTCCTGGCCAATCTGCTTTTAAATTTCATTGTGATTCCTTTGCAGGTATTGTGTTTTTTTATCTCTGATTGTTTTTAATTTTTTTTCTCTTTGTCTTTGGTATTCTGAAGTTTTATTATAAAAGACTATTGACTTTTATTCATTTAATTCCTGGAGAAGGGCATGGCAACCCAGTCCAGAATTCTTGCCTGGAGAATTCCATGGACAGAGGAACCTGGCAGGCTACATACAGTCCATGGGGTCACAAAGAATCAGGATAGGACTGAGCAACTGGCACTTTTTTTTTCTTTTTTCATTGCATAGCATAGGGAGGTATATTCAATATTCTATAATAACCTATAATGGAAAAGAATTTGGAAAAAAATTATACACACACACACACACACACACACATACACTTAATCACTTTGTTGTACACCTGGAACTAACACAACTTTGTAAATCAACTACAGTAAAAAAAAAAAACCTGCTCGAAGTTCACTGTCCAGGAGAATTTTGGGCAATTCTCCACTAGCATCTCTTTGACTATGACCTTTCCAATGTCCTCCACCAATTTCTATTCTTCTATTCTGAAACTCCAATTAGATATATTTTAAACCTTTCCTTTCGCTCCTTCCTGTCTCCTAACCATTCTTCCATATTTCCCATCTGTCTCCTTGTGCAGCCTTTTGAGAAATGTCCTCAGATCCACTTTCTAGACCAGAGCTTTTCGGCTGGCTCATCTCTTCTGCTCTTTCACCTCCTCTTAAGGCTTTCCGTTTTCAGTGACTTCATTTTTCACTTCCAGAAATTCTACTTGATTCTTCTTCAAATCTGCCTAGCCTTTCATTAAGTAATCATGGTTTTGATTCCTTATTGTTTAATCATATTAAACATATTCAGATTTCCCTGGAAGTCCAGTGGTTAAGATTCCATGCTTCCGGTGCAGGAGGTATGGGTTCAATCCCTGGTCCAAGAACTAAGATCTTGTGCTGCAAGAAAGAGAAAAAGCTTATATATATATTCTATAACATAAACCAAAGAGTTATATGAAGTTCTTGGAAGTCTAATTCTATCGTGTGACATTTCTGCTAACTCTTCTTCATATTTATTTGTGCATTTTGTAATTCTGCATCATGAGCTCAAATTCCTTGGGCCTTTATATGAGGAAATCTTGTGTGACCTGGATAAGAGAGTATATCCCTCTAGAGAAATTCAAAGTTTGCCTTCTAATAATGTCCCTTACAATATTCGGGTGCCCTGTTTGTTTTTCTCAATACTTAGGACATACTTATACTAAAGATGATTCATTATCTGACATTCAAATTTATCTGGACTCCTATATTTTATCTGGCATTTCTACTGGTGTGAAACCCAAGTCTTGTCTAGCCATCCCTAAAATGTTGTTAAACCCTCAGCATCTTACTTATCAAAACTGGCAAACAAAACAAAATAAAACACAAATGCAAAAATCCCTCCACTTTATCACTCTGGATTCCATTCTTTTTCTTGGTTTTGATTTCCTTTCAATTTTTTAAAATATAACTTTATTTATTTTTGGTTCTTCTGGGTCTTCTTTGCTCTGCAGGCTTTTCTCTAGTTGTGGAGAGCGGGGCTACTCGCTCGTTTCAGTGCATGGGCTTTTCATTGCGGCGGCTTCTCTTGCTGGGAGCATGGGCTCTAGGGCCTGCAGGCCTCAGCAGCTGTAGCTCACAGGCTCTAGAGCACAGGCTCTAGTTGTGGACCATAGACTTAGCTACTCCCCAGCATACCTCTATCTTCCCAGATCAGGGATTGAATCCGTGTCTCCGGCATTGGCAGGCGGGTTCTTTACCACTGAGCCACCAGGGAAGCCCTCCTTTCAGTTTCTGACCCTTAGAAGAGTTCCATACTTTCAAAATGAAGTCTTTAGCGTAGTTTTTTGCGTAAAGCCAAAAAGCTTGCAGGTCAATTTTATTTCTTATTTTACTTTATTGAGGTATAATTCTCATGTGACATAATACTATTTCCAGGTGTACAACATAATGATTTGATATTTGTACGTATTAGGAAATGATCACCATAATAAATCATTAACATCCATTATTACACAGTTGCAATTTTTTTCTTATGATGAGCAGTTTCAAGATCTATTCTCTTAGCAACTTTCAAATACAGTATTAGTAACTATCCCCAAGACCTTTTTATAATTGAAAGCTTGTACCTTTGACTACCTTCAGGCATTTCATCCACACCACTCTCCCACCAATCCCTGCTTCTGGCAACCACCAAGCTAGTCTCTGTATCTTTGAATTAGTTTGGGGTTTTTTTTTAGTTCCACATATACATGAGATCATATGGTTTGCAGGCCACCTTGGCTTCTTGATGTACTTTCCTGCTGGCTCAGACAGTAAAGCGTCTGCCTGCAATGCGGGAGACCTGGGTTTGATCCCTGGGTGGGGAAGAGCCCCTGGAGAAGGCAATGGCAACCTTGCCTGGAATACCCTGGCCTGGAAAATCTCATGGACAGGAGTCTGGTAGGTTACAGTCCATGGGGTCGCAAAGAGTCATACACGACTGAGTGACTTCACTTTTTCAACTTCTTGAATTCCCACATCCCTCTCCTAAGGCAACCAGTACATCCTAGTACGTCTCACTAGGATGGAGAAAGGGTAAAATAGAGAGAAAGTGACAAAGTGAAAGTGTGGGCCACAAAGTTGTGTCTGACTCTTTGCATCCCCGTGGACTGTAGCCTGCCAGGCGCCTCCGTCCATGGGATTCTCCAGGCAAGAATACTGGAGTGAGTTGCCTTGCTCTTCTCCAGGGATCTTCCCCACCCAGGGATGGAACCTAGGTGTCCCACATCATGGGCAGATTCTTTTTTTTTTTTTAGTTCTACCACTTTATTGCTACCAACCCATCTCCCTCCACCCTCGTGCACTCATGCTCAGTCATGTAACCCCATGGACTGCAGCCCGCCAGGCTCCTCTGTCCATGGACTTTTCCAGGCAAGAATACTGGAGTGGGTTGCCACTTCCTTCTCCAGGGGGCAGATTCTTTACGGTCTGAAACACTAGGGATGCTGCAGAGAGCAGCAAATATGATCCAGACACACGGGTGAAGAGTTTGGCTAGAGTCAGTGATCGTGGGAGGTCATTGCACTGATTAAAAAAGGCTCATGTCTTCTTCTTGTGCTACAGCAAAGACTTCTTGGCAAGCCCAGCAGAAGCCCAGGGACCCGCCCCATGGATATATGCCTGCAGATAAGGGCACCCAATGGCTCCATCGATGGCTTGAATTTCAACCCCATGAAGGAGTACATGATCCTGAGCGGTCCCCAAAAGATCGCTATCGCAGTGCTGTGCACCCTCCTGGGCCTGCTGAGTGCCCTGGAGAACCTGGTTGTTCTCTACCTCATCGCGTCCTCACACCGGCTCCGCAAGAAGCCCTCCTACCTGTTCATTGGCAGCTTGGCTGGGGCCGATTTTCTGGCCAGTGTGGTCTTTGCCTCCAGCTTTATACATTTCCATGTCTTCGATGGCGTGGATTCCAAAGCTGTCTTCCTGCTGAAGATCGGCAGCGTGACTCTGACCTTCACGGCCTCCCTAGGCAGCCTGCTGCTGACTGCCATCGACCGCTACCTCTGTCTGCGCTACCCGCCTACCTACAAAGCTCTACTCACCCGTAGGAGGGCACTGGTGACCCTGGGCATCATGTGGGTGCTCGCCACACTGGTGTCCTACCTGCCCCTCATGGGATGGACCTGCTGTCCCAGGCCCTGCTCTGAGCTTTTCCCCCTGATCCCCAATGACTATCTGCTGAGCTGGCTCCTGTTCATTGCCGTCCTCTTGTCGGGCATCATCTACACCTACACGCATGTCCTGTGGAAGGCCCATCAGCACGTAGCCAGCTTGGCTGAGCACCGGGACAGACACCTGTCTGGAACAGCCCGGATGAGGTTGGATGTGCGGTTGGCCAAGACCCTGGGGATGCTCCTGGCTGTGCTGTTCATATTCTGGTTCCCGGTACTGGCCCTCATGGTCTACAGCCTGGCTGCCAAGCTAAGCGAACAGGTCAAGAAGGTGTTTGCCTTCTGCTGCTTGCTCTGCCTTGTCAACTCCATGGTCAACCCCATTATCTATGCCCTGCGGAGTGGGGAGATCCGGTCCTCTGCCCACCACCGTCTGGCCCACTGGAAGAAGTGCGTGAGGGGCCTCGGGCCAGAAGGAAAAGGAGAGATCCCCAGGTCCTCAGTCACTGAGACAGAGGCTGATGTGAAAACCACCCCGGGGCTAGATTCCAGAGAGCTGTCCTGGCCTGATGAGCTCTGATCACTGATGTGATCACTTTCACAGTGTGAAATAAGCCAAGTCAGAAGTCATTTCACTCCCCGGAGGAGGAAGAGTGGCCTTGATCCTCTCATCTGACTTGAACCAGCCCTAGAGGCCTGGACGCTGAAGTGTTGGTACTGACCTCTGGAAGGCAGCCTGGTCATGCCTGTCTGCATGACCTGATCACAGTCTGTTGGGCAGCCAGGCCCTGTGAGGGATGCAAGGTGGGCAGGGGGCAGGAGACAGGAGGCCTGGGACAGGCTCAGGGCAGGTCAGAACCACCTTCCCAATAAGACAGCTTCGTACCTGAATTCTCCAGAGACCCCAGCAGCCAGGTGGAGCTTTTATGCTCAGCAATGAGGGGCCTGGAGGAGATCTAGGAAGAATGGATCATTCTCCTGGGATCTCAGGATATCAGATGGGATAGCTGGCCAGCCCTTCTTCCTGCTTAATTGTTAGGGGCCTCCTTGGTTTTAGAGCTATACCTGAAGGTCACCCTTCCCACAGAGGGCCAAGAATTAAAATGTGATGAGGATCAAGGATGTCTATTCACCTCTTGCAGAGGTAACTGACAAGCCTCCAGTTCAGAGCATGTTATTATTGGGGCAGTGGCCCTCTCTGATACCCTGATAATCCCCACTCACAATTAGTGTCTCCTAGGGACCTGGGGAATACAGAGGAGGCTGGGATTGCTTGAGATGCAGAATCTTCAGAGAATTCTGTTGGTCTTGCTAAGTCCTTTTTGGTGGTACCGCTGGAAGCAGGCAGTGTGCCAATCTAATCCAACTCCAAGAAAAAGGAAGATATTCACAAAGATTTTATAACTCCCCAAATTGTCCCCAGCCATCCCTCAACTCAGCCCCTTTGTCTCCTCTACCACCCGAACCCTGGAATAAATGATAAACAGAGCAAGCGCGAGGAGGGGGAAACTCCCTTACTATGTGCCAGGCATAGGGCTGATGTCCTACAGTCCATTAGCTCCAGCAAGGATTCAGCCCCATGCTTTTGAAGATCCCAGGATACCCATGTTTTACATTATTAGGGAGGCTGGATTCCTACCAAAGGGGCTTAAAGCAGTAGGCGGGAAAAATTGTTGATGGTAAGGAGGATGCATAAGAATTCTGATGCAATTATTTGGGGCTATAGATGGAATAAAAGGAAATGTAATGATTGAATGTGTCTTCATTTAATATTTACAAGACAAGGGGTTCACCATTCATTCATTCATCCAACCATCTCACCAGTACATGCTAGGCTCTGTGCTAGATCCTGGATATCCAGCCATAAATGAGACTCTGCACCTGTCTAATGGGGCTCACATTCTACATTCTGCTGGGAATAGAGCCAGTGAAGAAAAAAAGTTGATGATTACTGGTGGTACAATGAAAGGAATCATCAAGGTCGTGGAAGAGAGATTAATTGAGGCAACTTTAGGTAGGGTAGACCTACTATGTGCTTTGGTCATGAGTCGATTGGCATTTATTGAGATGTTACTATGTTCCAGGCACTGGGCTAAGTGCTTTTATGTATTTTAAATAATTTATGTATTTTAAATTATTTGGCTGTGGTGCGTCTTAGTTGAGACACAGAGGATCTTCCATCTCCATTGTGGCACTGGAGATCTCTTAGTTGCAGCATGTGGAATCTAATTCCCTAACCAGGGATTGAATCCAGGACCCCTGCATTCGGTGTGTGGAATCTTAGCCACTGGACCACTAGGGAAGTTCCTGGGCTAAGTGTTTTTAAATGAGGAATCTCAGTCTCACAATAATCTGATGAAGAGGGTTTGGTAGCCTCAGTTTACTGAAGAGGACAATCTCTAAGAGGCAAAAATCACTTGACTGAGATCACACTACTAATATATACCCAAAGCTGGGGTATATATTTCAATCCAGCTCTGTTTGACTGCTAAGCCTACCCTCTTTACCACTAACTTCTTGGCCTAGTTCAAATTCTGCTTGATTCGGATAGTAATAATAAACAAGCCTACAAATAATAATCAGACTTCAATAATAATAAGTCTAATAGTGACAAATATGCATAAAGTATAAGTGATAATATGACTTATTAAATATAATACTAATATTGAATTTTCATAACACCAAACTGCTGCAACCTTATCATTATGTCTCAACATACTTCATTTTATGCCCTATATTAACTTCCTACAGCAACTTTCTACAAACTGAGGGGCTTATAACAACAGAAATTTATTCTTTCACAGTTCTGGACTCTAGAAACTAATCAAAGTGTCAGCAGGGCCACACTCTCTCCAAAGTTTCCCGGGAAGGATGTTGTTGTTGTTCAGTTGCTAAGTTGTGTCCAGCTCTTTTGCCATCCCATGGACTGTAGCCCACCAGGTTCCTCTTTCAATGGGATTTCCCAGGCAAGAATACTGGAGTGGGTTGCCATTTCCTTTTCCGAGGGATCTTCCTGACCCAGGGTTCAAACCTGTGTTTCTTGTATTGGCAGGTGGGTTCTTTAGCACTGAGCCTCTTGGGAAGCCCCCAGGGGGTGGACACTTACTCGCTTTTTCCAACTTCTGGCAGCTCCTTGTGCCCCTTGGCTTGTGGCAACATAAATCCTACCTCTGCCTCTGTGTTCACGTGGCCTTTCCCCACTCTCTGTTGCTGCGTGTCTTTTTTTTTTTTTTCGGTTGAAGTATAGCTGATTTCCAGTGCTATTACTACATTAGTTTCAGGTATAAAACAATGATTCAACATTTTTCTAGACAAATAAATTCCATTAATTTATTATAAATATTGGCTATGTTCCCTGTGTTGTACAATATATCCTTGTAGCTTATTTATTTTATACATAGTAGTTCAAACCTTTTAACCCCAGCTCCTCTTGTCCCTCCTCGCTTCTCTCCCCACCAGTAACTACTAGTTTGTTCTCTACATCTGTGAGTCTGTTTTTGTTTTGTTATGTTTATTTTTGTTTGTTTTTTAGATTCCATACATAAGTGATAACATATGCACTGTTTCCCTGTCTGGCTTATTTCACTTAGCATAATACCCTCCAGGTCTATCCACGTTGTTGCACGTGGCAGAACTTTATTCTTTTTCATGACTGGGTGGTATTCCATTCCACAGCCTCTTTATCCATTCATCTGTTGATGGGCATTTAGGTTGCTTCCAGTTACTGTAAATAATGCTGCTATGAACACTGGGGCTCAGGTATCCTTTCAGGTTAGCATTTTCATCTTCTTTGGATATATGCCCAGGAGAGGAATTGCTGAATCATGTGCGAGCTCTATTTTAGTTTTTTGAGGAACCCCTATTCTATTTTCCACAGTGGTTGCACAAATTTATGTTACTGCCATCAGTATATGAGGATTCCCTTTTCTCCACATCCTCATCAACACTTGTTACTTGTGTTCTTTTTGATGATAGCCATTCTGAACAGATTGAGGTGATATCTCATTGCAGTTTTGATTAGCATTTTTCTAATAATTAGCAATGTTGAGCTTCTTTAAATTTGTCTGTTGGCTGTATGTCTTCTTTGGGAAAATGTCTATTCAGGTCTTCTGACTATTTTTCAATCAGATTGTTTTGTTATATTGCGTTGTATGAACTATTTCTACATTTGGGATATTAACCCCTTATTAGTCATATCATTTGCAAATATTTCCTCCCATTCAGTAGGTTGTCTTTTCATTTTGCTGATGGTTTCCTATGCTGTGCAAAAGCTTTTAAGTTTAATTAGAGCCTATTTATTTTTTATTTTGTTTCTTTTGCCTTAGGAGACAGATTGTAAAAAAAATAGGGCTATGTTTTATATCAAAGAGTGTTCTGCCTATGTTTTCTTCTATTTATTTTATTTAGTTCCAGTCTTACAATTAGGTCTTTCATCTTGGTGTCTTTTTTTAAGGACACCATTCATTGGATTAAGGCGTGACTTCATCTTAATTTAACAAATGACATCTCCAAAGAAGGGAACATTCACAGAATTTGAGTGGACATGAAGTTTTGGGGGACACTCTTCACCCCCTACAGCCCCCAAGGACAAAACCCAACCTCCTAATACACCCCACCTCATGGACTGTGTTAAGTGGGGTCATGGGCTTGTCTTCCCCCACAAGATGAGCTCCTTGTTCACCTCTTGGTTCCCCGGGTTCCTTGAAGAACCATTATAGAGTCTTAAGGGAGCTGGTCAATATCTGTGGCACTGAACTGCTTCTGAAAAGCTTTAACTGAACTTAGGAAAATACGATTTTATTTTAACTCAAATACCTATCTTTTTGTAATGTAAAGAAATGGGATGGTTTTTTAAAGGTGAATATGTGACTCCTTAAACTTGGGACTGAAGTGACTTAGCAGCAGCAGCAAACTTGGGACACGCCATTCTTTATTCATTGATGGGGTCTTTTCTCATTTCAGCCAAAAAAATGCCCAAGTGGCATAAGTTGATACTCAGTAAATATTTTTTTAATGAATAAAACTAGAGTTTAAAAATCGTTGAATTAAATGCACTTCCACATTTTCTTCTGCTCTCCTTTCACAATCACACCCTATTTCTGCTTTAAGTAAAGAAGCAGAGTTTATGGAGGGGGAGAGCAAGGGAGAAAGCGGACCCCAGATATCACTGAGAACTCATTGTTTAGATGAGGAAATGGGCCCAGGCAGTGGACAAGACCTGCCCAAGGAGACCCAACAAGGTGGTGTCTAATGCAAGAAACCTAGGTTTCCCAGCTTCCAGGTTTTCCAGGCTGTTACAGTGCCTCTCACCTGTGCCTGCAGATTTATGTTTTGGCTACGAGGCTAAGGAGGGATAAAGGTCATGGTGTCCTATTTTATATTCCCCAAGATGAGCTCTGTAGCATCAAAGACCAGTACTCACCCTGATCACTAGAAGTCATGTACAAATGTTTCGTTGTTGTTTTAAGTGTCTGGGCTTGCTGTTGTGGACAATATTACAACATAACCTTGCAAAGGAAGTAGCAAGATAAAATGGTTGTTCACTGAGCAATAGCCATTCTGTTTATCACTCCTAGAATGAGGAAGTGCTGGCTTCTGTCAACACAGGCTTTGACAAGCTCTTCTGCACCTCCTGGGGTACAAGAGAGAAGTAGCACTTGAGAGACACAGGTTCTGCATCCGCAGACCTGGGTTCTGGTCCCACTGCTGATCCAACTAGTTACCTGATCTTGGACAACTCCAATCCCCTCTCTGGGTCTTAGTTTCCTCTTTCTTAAAATGGGAAGAAGAGTAAAGAACAGGATGGTGTCAAAGATCTCCAGAGTTCCTTCCAGCTCCATCCTGCAGCAGTTCTCTCACTGATACGGAGGTACCAAGTGTGCAGTCGGGGTGGTCATCAGACTTCCCACACCTGATGACCTCACCGCCTACCTGAACAGGCACAGCATCTACCAGTTGTAGAATCTACTGACCTGCTGGCCAGACAAGGTTCCCAGAGACACTGCTTAGGCCTGAGGCTCTCAATTTTCTCACTGTTTCTCTAAAAATATTCCTTTGAGTCCACCTGTGCGTAGATCTTGATTTTTCTAAGTAGATGTCAAACTCTTTGAATTGCCTCAAAAGTCCCAAAGCAAGTTCAAGACACATGCGTGTGTGTTAGTCACTCAGTCGTGTTCGGCTCTTTGCAACCCCATGGACAGTAGCCCACCAGGCTCCTCCATACATGCGATTTTCCAGGCAAGAATACTAGAGTGGGTTGCCATTTCCTGTTCGAGGAGATCTCCCCCACCCTAGAATCAAACCCCAGTCTCCCGCATTGCAGGCAGATTCTTTTTTTTTTTTTGAAGTAAGAGAAATCATTTTAATATATACATTTTCAGTTCACTCAATTCAACAATGATTTCTAATAGGCATGCAGACCCATTTAGTTTGCTTCAAATTTATTTCTCAACATGCAGCAACCTTCCTAAAGAGATAGTTAAGTTGAATTATTTATTCCTAAAGAGTACAATGTACCTTGCCCTCAAAGAGTTTTATCAACTTTAACATTTTCAAAGAGCCCTATGAGGCTGCTCAATATGGTAGTTTTCCCCTGAAATTTCCTATTTGGAGGATGGCAAAACAGTCTAGGATCTTTCCCAGTCTACTGGTTGCTTGTATTCATATCACAGCGTGGCTGGCTAAGAGGTAGAGACTGAATAATATGTAGATAGCCTTCAAGCCCAGTTGAGTGAGACAGCTTCATTTTTAGAAAGGAAACCAAATCATGAAAACCCTCCTAATAGTATGATTTGTTCCAAGGTTCTTTTAAGAAGGGACGTAATCCTCACGCACAGAACTCTTTATGGCCTTCTAGAGTTTTCTGCTCCAGCCAGTGTTGTCCAGCCAGGTGACTTATTGCACTTTCTGCAGAACTGAAAGCATGACGTCTCTGTCTACTTGCATCATTAGAGGTGGTGTTAATCTTCTCATTTCCGGCCAAATGGATCCGACCACACTTTCAACCCTGGTGGCTGCACGTCTTCTTGAACAATACCAGCTCGATTAATGGCTTGTTCCTTCTTTTTCTAGTGCTCCCATTTTGCTGCAGTCTGCGGCTGGATGTGTATGCCACGGGAGCGAGTCTGAGCCGGTAGCTGAGGGCATCAAGGGGCCGCTCGAAGCACGGGCTCCTCCGGATCCTGGGAACACCTCTTTCTCACCAGGGTGTGTGCTGGAATCCAGACAGCTTTGTAAGGCTGTACTTCTCCAGCCGCATTAAGGGCCGGAAGTCGATGGGGTAGAAGGCGCGCCGATCAGGGAGATGAAGCCACCGAAATTGAGAGCAGTGCGCAGGTTCCGGGACACGGATTCTCCGAGTGCCCGGGACTCTCCAAACCCGGCTCCCGCCGGCTGGGCCGCAGGCAGATTCTTCACCATCTGAGCCACCAGGGAAGGCCCTTCAATACATACTAGACACATTTTGGCAAAATAGTTACACCCGTGGGATTGCAGAGTCAGACACGACTGAGTGACTGAGCACACATAGAAGAGAAAGTCAGGAGGCAGGAATACCAGATGGAAGAATATTGTCACAGCCTGGCAGAAATGAGGGGCAGAAGGATGATGGGAGGAAGCATTGTAAGGGCAGAGATGGGAGGACCTGTTCTTTCAGGGCCCGCTTTCCTCCCACCTCTCCCCTGATAATGCTTTCTCCCATCGTCCTCTGCCCCCATTTCTGCCAGGGTTGTGACAATGCTCTTCCATCTGGTATTCCTTCCTCCTGACTTTCTCTTCTATGTGTGTGTTCAGTCACTCAGTCATGTCTGACTATCATCCCACGGACTGCGGCCATTTCCTCCTTCAGGGGATCTTCCCCACCCAGGGATCAAACCTGCATCTCTTGCATCTCCTGCATTGGCCTGCGAATTCTTTTTATACAACTGCACCACCTGGAAAGCCCTTTCTCTTCTATAGTACAACTCAAAGAGTCCCTTATCCCTGTTTATCTAACCTATATGCAGAGTATATCATGCAAAATGCCAGGCCAGATGAAGCACAAGCTAGAATCAAGATTTCCAGGAGAAATATCAATAATCTCAGATATGCAGATGACACCATCCTTATGGCAGAAAGCAAAGGGGAACTAAAGAGCCTCTTGATGAAGGTGAAAGAGGAGAGTGAAAAAACCGGTTTAAAACTCAACATTCAAAAAACTAAGATCATGGCATTCAGTCCCATCACTGCATGGCAAATAGATGGGGAAACAATAGAAACAACGGCGATAGGCTTTATTTTCTTGGGCTCCAAAATCACTGCAGACGGTGACTGCAGCCATGAAATTAAGACACTTGCTCCTTGGAAGAAAAGCTATGAGAAACCTAGACAGCATATTAAAAAGCTGAGACATTACTTTTCCAGTAGTCATGTATGGATGTGAGAGTTGAGCCATAAAGAAAGCTGAGCGCCAAACAATTGATGCTTTCCAATTGTGGTGTTAGAAAAGACTCTTGAGAGTCCCTTGGACTGCAAGGAGATCCAACCAGTCCATCCTAAGGGAGATCAGTCCTGGGTGTTCATTGGAAGGACTGATGCTGAAGCTGAAACTCCAATACTTTGGCCACCTGATGCGAAGAGCTGACTCATTTGAAAAGACCCTGATGCTGGGAAAGATTGAAGGCAGGAGAAGGGGCCGACAGCGGAGATGGTTGGATTGCATCACCGACTCACTGGACGTGAGTTTGAGTAAACTCCGGGAGTTGGTGATGGACAGGGAGGCCTGGCGTGCTCCGGTCCATGGGGTCGCAAAGACTCGGCACGACTGAGCGACTAAACGGCAACAACAAATAGCTCCCAACAGTAACGTGTTCTCTGCACACACCGTACCTTTAACACACACCCCCCGCGCACAATTTCACCCGGCAGTGAATTCTCTTCTGAAGTGTTCAATCAGTGGTCACCTGAGCGTGCCTCTTTCTCCCTTTGAGCGCCGGAGGGTGGCAGGGACCACCCGCCGGCCCGGAGGAAAGACTCGCGGTAGCCAAGCAGCCTGGGTTGCCCCACCCCTTTTCCCTTCCGAGCCAATCAGGAACTAGGGTGGGCGGGACCGCTTGCCCCGCACCTGCGCGTTAAGAGGTGGGCGGCGAGGCACCGAGTCAGCTGTGCCGCACCGCGTGATGAGGTCGCGGGTGGTGGTCGCCGAGCTGTTGCTTCTGCTGCAGCTGGTGCTGGTGCTCGGAGCGGTGAGGCTCCCGCGCTGCACCGACCCTCGGCGCTGCACTGTGCCTCCGCGCCGCTACACCCCGGACTGGCCGAGTCTGGACTCCCGGCCGCTGCCGGCCTGGTTCGATGAAGCCAAATTCGGGGTGTTCGTGCACTGGGGCGTGTTCTCGGTGCCTGCCTGGGGCAGCGAGTGGTTCTGGTGGCACTGGCAGGGCGAGAAGCTGCCGCAGTACGAGAGCTTCATGAAAGAGAACTACCCGCCGGATTTCAGCTACGCCGACTTCGGGCCAAGGTTCACGGCGCGCTTCTTCCACCCCGACAGCTGGGCTGACCTCTTCGAGGCCGCCGGGGCCAAGTGAGTGACGCCGCCGCGGGAGCGGGCGGGAAGCCCCTACCCGGGCGAGGGCTGACCCTCGAGCGCCGGGAGTGCCTTAGGCTGGTGGGAATCGAGCGGGGTGGGGGCGGGGAGGAGGCGAGGAGACTTGCCGGATCACACAGGTGTCCCTGTGACCGCAGATGTTGCGGGTACTTTGTTTCGCCTCCCGAAGAATGCAGAATTGTAAGTGGCACGCCAGATCTTACGGTTGAGGATTAGAAGGAAATAAAGGTTTCAGGTTGGTGGTGGACTTGGCAAGCCCTTCGTGGACTTGGGAAGACCTGAGTATGGGGGAGGATTGAGCTAGGTGATACCTAAAGTGAGTCCCCTGCGGGTCAGCAAAACAATCAAGGTTCCAGGATTTTAAGCCAGAGGTCGGGAGTTTGATCCTAGTTCAGCTGTGAACTTGAACAAGGCCCTTTACCTCCCTACCGCCTCCTTCCCTGGCTGGAAGGAATTGTGTTCTTCCTTTCAGCTTTAATATGTCCCAGAGGGAAGGAAGTTCTGGTGCCCAGTGTATTTGGGCAACAATATAGACTCTGTGCCATCTGCTCTTCTCAATGTCTTGCACATAGAAAGTGCTCATGAAATTGTTTTGAGAACTGTTGCAGCTTGCATGTGAATGGTTCAGAGAACTGAGAGTGTAGAGCTTTGATGGGGGAGGCTAGGACTCCCAAGTCTGTTGAAGGCTGGGGCCGGTCCTGAAGGAGTCATCCTTGAAGGCAGGATGTTGCAGGTACTAAGTCAAGGAATGGTGACCCTCAGCTTCAAGGATGAGCTTGGCGGCTGAGAGAGCAGTGGTTTGGAGGAGAGTGAGAATGAAGGCAGGTAGGTCTCCCAGCCTCTGGCTTAGGGCAGTCTTCCACCGTTATCTTGTCTCAGACGACCCAGGTTTTAGTTTCTCTTGGACCTTAAGTCCTCATGTACTAAAGAGAAATTACAACTGATATTTAGTGTTTGCAATTAAATGCATGGGAATATAAGGCTTGACTAAACCGAGGAGGAGTTACCAGTCTTTCAGAAGCCTTAGAAATCCATAATTTTCAAATGAAGACGTTAAAATCTGGGAGATATCCTTTGTCCAGGTCAAATGCCCCTACTATGGACAAGGTGCTGCTGCTACTGCTAAGTCACGTCAGTCATGTCCGAGTGGGACAAGATGACCGGCCCAGGTAGAGGAAGGGAACTAATGTCCTGGACTCCAAATCCCATGAGCCTAAGACGAAGGTTCTTTCCACCACACCAGGAGTCTGTAACCTTAACTAGAGGGATCGGTCCTCTGCCTGGTTTTTTGTAAGTTTCTTGAGAAAGATTTTTACATTTTCAAAAACCTGTTTTTAAAAAGTAGAAGAAGAATATGCCACAGAGAGGACTGTGGTTCCCCAGAGCCTGAAATACTGTCTAGCCCTTAAAATCCTGAGCCTCCCTCATCAGCCGGGGATTAAATCATCCTTTTAGGCACCATTTTTCTGTGACAAAAGTAAATGAAATGTTGAGTGATTTGATTGTTATTTCAACACTTGCCTTTTCTCCCCTTTTTCTTTTGGCCTTTTGTCACCTCTGTAAAGGAGAGGCACTTGATATGGGCTTGATAAACACCTTACTTTTCTATCGTCTGCTCTTTCAGTAGAGGTTTCTTTCTTCTTTAGGGCAAAGGGTTGGTTTTTGTTTTTTTAAATGCTTTACATTAATACACAGAAGAGCTCCAGAACTGGAGAGCCAGTTTATACATATTTTCCCTTACCTATTCCTTTCTTCTTTCCTTCCTAGTCTCCTTCTTGTCTGGGAACTAAGGACTGTGGCTTCCTCAAATTTGCTTTCATTCCTGGAACAATACCCAAGGGGTGTTGTGACTGATGCAACTTCCTGGGTATCACTCATACAAGTTCAGTTGACCTTTGAACAACACAGGTTTGAACTTCTTGGGTCCACTTATATACAAATTTTTTCCTCAAATTTTTTCTTTGTGTTTGGGCTAGACCACTTCAGTGTCTTTGTTGTTGAACTCTTGGGGTTCTAGGTGGCCAGGGCATTGTCCAATATTAAAAGAACTTTAAAACGCAGTTTCTTACTGGCCAGGTACTTCCTGACTTCAGGGACGTAGCACTGATGGAACCAATCCAGAAAAAGGGTTTTCGTTGGAAAAATTTTTGGAGATTTGTTATAATTTGAAAAAACTCAGAAATGTCAAAAATTAAGAAAAGAGTATGTTACAAATGTGTAAAATATATAGATACTAGTTTATTTTACCATTTGTATGTGTCTGCTCAGCCAGTCAGTCGTGTCTGACTCTTTGTGACCCCATGGACTGTAGCCCACCAGGCTCTTCTGGCTTTTAGGTCTCCTGCATTGGCAGGTGGGTTCTTTACCACTAGCGCCACCTGGGAAGCCCATATTAAATCATAAATGCATAAAATTAATCGCAGTACATACTGTACTACCATCATAATTTTGTACCCACCTCCTATTGGTGTCCTGTTGGTGAACTCAACTGTTGTGTCCACTTAAGATGCCAAGTGATGCTAATCATTTTCACATGAGCACTTATCCCTCTGGTAAATTGCCTATTGCAGTAAAAAGTCATCTCTCATGTTCTCAAGTATTTTTCACCTTGTTTAGTGCAATATCATAAACCTTGAATAACACCTTGACACCCATACAAAGCTCCCCCAGTGATGCCAGAAGTGCTCCCAAGAAGCGGAGAGAATTAACATTACAAGAAAAAGTTGAATTGCTTGATATGTATTGCAGATTGAGGTCTGCAGCTGTGGTTGCCCACTGCCCTTGCAATATAAATGAATCCAGCGTTAAAAAAAAATAATAATAATGAAGCTGTCATTGCAGCTATGCCATAAGGTGTGAAAAACCTTGCACTTCTTGCAAAATATCTTTTTATCTCATATTGAAAATGCAGCTTTGATGTGGGTGCAGGATTGCTGTAAGAAAGGCATACATAAAGACACTAAAATGATTCGGAAAAAAGTAAAGTCGTTTCATGACAACTTAAAGCAAAAGGAAGGTGAAGGATCTAAAGCTGGAGAATTTAACGCCAACAAAGGATAGTTTGATAATTTTCTAAAGAGGTTTGGCTTTTTAAATGTCAAGATGACAGGAGAAGTAGTTACTACCAACCATGAGTTCCCAGAGGCCACTGAGAAAATCATTGAGGAGAAAGGATTTCTGCCTATGCAGGGTTTTTTTTTTTCCTCCTTTTGTTTTTTGGTGGCCTCGGATGGCATGCGAGATCTTAGTTGGCCGACCAGGGGGCAATGTGTGCCCCCTGCAGTAGAAGTGCAGAGTCGTAACCACCTTACCACCAGGAAAACCCATGAACAGCTTTTTAATACAGAGTAAAGTGGACCTTCCAATGGGGGAGAAATGCCTCCAAGAGCATTTATTAGTAAGAAAGAGAAGTAAGCACCAGAATTTAAGGCAGGAAGGGACTGGCTAACTACTGTTTGATGCGAATGCAATCAGGTTTATGATTAGGACTGTCCTTTTCTATAAACCTACTAATCAATGAGCCTTGAAGGGAAAAGATGACACAAACTGCCAGTCTTTTGGTTGTAAAGCAAGTAGGCCTGGACGACGAAAACCCTTTTTCTGGATTGCTTCCATCAGTGCTTTGTCCCTGAAATCAGGAAGTACCTTGGAGTAAGAAACTGCCTTTTAAAGTTCTTTTAATATTGGACAATGCCCTGGCCACCCAGAACCCCAAGAGTTCAACAGCAAAGACATTGAAGTGGTCTACCCCAAGCACAACATCTCTAATTCAACCTGCAGATCTAGGGGTCATAGGATCTTTTCTTTTTTTATTAATTGATTGATTTGGTTGCACTGGGTCTTAGTTGTAGCAGATGGACTCTCCAGCTGTGGCATGCGGGCTTTGTTGCTCCGGGGCATGTGGGATCTTAGTTCCCTGACCAGGGATCGAACCTGCATCCCCCATTGCACAGCGGATTCTTAACCACTGGACCACCAGGGAAATCCCCATGGTGGACCTTAAGGATCTTTAAGGCTCATTACACATGGTACTCGATGGGAAGGATTGTCAACACAATGGAAGAGAACCCCAATGTAGATAGCATCATGAAAGTCTGGAAGGATTACACCATTGAAGATGCCATTGTTATTATGGAAAAAGCTATAGCCCAAAACAATAAAATTCCTGTGGGAGAAAACTGTCCAGATGTTGTGCATGACTTCACAGGATTTACAATAGAGCCAATTAAGGACATCATGAAAGAGATATGGATATGGGGGCGGGAGGAAGGGAGAGGGGAGGTGCAGGGTTTCAAGATATGGGTCTTAGAAAAATTCAGGAGCTGGTAGACCTCATACTTGAAATAACATAAGACAGTTTGATGGAGGTAAGTGCTTCTAAACAAGTGCCAGACAATGAGGAAGAAGACATAGAAGAAGCAGTGCCAGAAAACAGATTGATGTTAGACAGTCTGGCAGAAGGATGCTGATTATTCAAGATAGCTTTTGACTTCTTTTACCACACTGACCCTTCTATGATATGATATGAAACTAAAGCAAACCGTGGAAGGAGGATTGGTATCATATTTGTCATTGGTTTGTCGTTATGTCGTGTCCAACTCTTTGCAACACCATGGACTGTAGCCCAGGCTTCTCTGTCAATGGAATTCTCCAGGCAAGAATACTGGAGTGGGTTGCCATTTCCTTCTTCGGGGGTTCTTCCTGACCCAGGGATTGAACTTGCATCTCCTGCACTGGCAAGTGAGGTCTCACAGTCAGAAATATATGAGATGTTTCCATAATGTTACCCTGAATGCCCACCTCTCCTGCCTCCCTGTCCACCTCCTCCTCCTTTTCTACCTCTTCCACCCCTGAGACGGCAAGACCAACCCCTCCACTTCCTCCTGAGGGTACTCATCATGAACACCTTTATGATGATCCTCTTCCACTTAATGAACAGTAAATAATCCTTAGGCCATGTAGTTAATAAACCTATCTGTTGTGTACGTGTAGAAGTGTCTTCATTAACTCAATGAAATCTGAGAACTCAATGGCAAGAACTGTATGAAACATTTTGTGTCTCATCATTGCTGTCACCGCCTAAGTGTTCATCTGTAGGTTGTCACATGCAAGACTGGCATGGAAGTAAATAGCCAATCCTTACATAAGCAGAAAGTAAGTGATACTTAATATAAAATTAATAATATCTTTCCTTTTTAAAAACACTGCTTTCAAAGAATTATATTACCATTCGGTATGTACCCCCTTCCAGTCCCCTCTCATAGTTAAATAACTATGTATCAGACTGTTAAGGAAATTAAAATGGAGGTAGTCTTGTTCAGCCTTCAGAAGCAAGACACCAGGCTCTGACCAACTTCTAACCTTGCCTGGACCCTACCTGGACTACATACATGCCTGCCTGTAAGCACACCAGTTATTACCAGGAAGTCAGGCAGCACCTTGGTTAAGAGAGGGAGTGTGTCTTGGAATTTCCTGAGCCCCTGGAGGTCTGGAAAATCTTGTGACTCACAAGATGAAATAAACAGCATTGTAAAAGTTAAAGGAAAACCAGAGCTGCGTGCAAACTGATGATGATATCAGTTGTGTCCTGAGATTATAAACAGGAGCCCCCAAATCTGTAATTTGAAGTCTCACAGTGGGGTGGACGCACTGCCTGGGACCCTTTTCCCAGCTGGGACTCCAGATTGCTGTTACTCAGGACTTTCCAACTCTGTTCAAGTCTGGATATGGGTTGGTGGCCCATTTTGGTGATATGCACACTGTTACTTCTGTCATTACTGTTTCTTTTCTCTTGACTGTATGTTGTAATTAAGTTAAATTATCTATTAAATATTGAAATTGTTTATTGTGTATGTAACCAGCAGTTTCTTTTGTTAACAAATCTTTCAAACCTAAAACAAAATTAAAGCTTTCAGCAAAACTCAACTGATGCATGAGACGAGTGCTCAGGGCTGGTGCACTGGGATGACCCAGAGGGATGGGATAGGGAGGGAGGTGGGAGAGGGGTTCAGGACACACATGTACACCCATGGCTGATTCATGTCAGTGTATGGCAAAAACCACTACAATATTGTAAACTAATTAGCTTCCAATTAAATAACTTAAAAAAAAAACCCTCAACCTATCATCACATTCAAGTGACTTTTTAAAAAAATGTAACAATGTTTCCCATCCCATATTTTGAATGAGTATAATACCATATGCCATAAAAATGTTATAATGATTCATTCATTAGTGTATAAGCTAGGCTATCATGAAGCAATCATATTGATTGCACTAGGCTACTATAAAGCAATCATGTTGCTGTTGCTTCATTATCAATGGATGAATCATAACTGCAAATAAATATGAATGGCTTTTTCACATTAGCTTTCCAGCTTTGATATTTAGTGTTAGTAATAACTAACGTCTACAGTGTTTTGTATCATGTAAGACAGTATTGCTGTAGATACTGACAGGTGGTTCATCTTGTAAACAGACAGTGTAAACTTATGGTAATACAGTACATATGCCCTATCTCCAACTAACAGCATTGTAAAGCAACTGTACTCCAATAAAATAAAATAAATGCAGTGCAGTACTATAATGTATTTTCTCTTCCTTATGATTTTCTTAAAAACATTTTCTTTTCTCTAGCTTACATCATTGTACAAATACAGCACATTATACATATAAAATACAAAATGGGTGTTAACCGACCATTTATGTTATTGGTAAGCCTTCCAGTCAAGAGTAGGCTATTAGTAGTTTAGGGCGAAGTCAAGAGTTACACATGGATTTTCTTCTGCACAGGGGTCAGCACACCCCTAACCACCATGTTGTTCAAGGGTCACCTGTACATTTCCTGTAGTTGAGTTCCCTCAACCGTTTTAAAAAGCCTCAGGCATGCCAGGTAAGTTGGTGTTGGTAGCCCACTGCCTATTTCCTTTGTTCATATGCTTTCATTGTCCACAGATATGTGGTCCTGACGACAAAGCATCATGAAGGCTACACAAACTGGCCAAGCCCTGTGTCTTGGAACTGGAACTCTAAGGATGTGGGGCCCCATCGTGATTTGGTTGGTGAGTTGGGAACAGCCATCCGGAAGAGGTGCGTGTCCACAGACAGTCACTCCATCATCACGTTTGATCTAACCAGCCACTGTCCCGTGCCTTCTCTTCTCTTCTGTGTTTTCTAAGTTTGCGTTTAACCAGTACGTGGGAGGGCTTGTACTGCATTGGCAGTGTTTGAACCTTGACAGTTTTCATGTGACCAAAAGTGACAGCATCAGAGAAGTTCATGGCCCTCTGGTTAGGTGAAGGATACCCGGCATAGACCACAACGCTGCACTTGTGCTCTCTATACAGGATTCTTTCTGGGAAGCCTTCCAGCCTAGGGCCTTTTCCAGTATGTGTTAGAGGCCAGGGTTGTGTTCATCTCTGTGTCCTCCTCAGCTGTCAACCCAGAGCTTTGTAGGCGTTCATGGAAGGTTTAGATGAGTGGGAGATCTGGAGAGACCTGAAGAGGGCAGTTAAAGCAACGAAAAGGGAGGTAAGGCATCACTCCTGATTCTAGGTAATATTTCCTAATATCTGCCACTTAAGATGTAACTTCCCAAGGTCAAAGAGCTGGGAAGGGGCAGAAGTGGGATTTGAACCCAGGTATTCTGATTTTGGACCCTATTGTTCTGAGTATATTTGTCTGTAAGGAGGAAAATGGTATTTGTGTCGTGCCCACTCAGCTCTGTTGTGATTTGGCAAACTTGATGTCCTCTTTAAGGGGTAGACCAGCTGACTATTTGTATAAATAAAGTTTGATTGGAATACAGTTGTGTTCATTCACTTATACATTGTCTCTGACTACTTTCAAGCTCTAATTACGGAATCGGGGTAGAGATAGCAAGGCCTACAAAGCCTCAGATATTATCTGGTCATTTAAGAAAGCATTTACTGACTTATGTCACCTGTGAAACATTCTGTTTTCCAATATTGAGCTCTGCTAATAGTCCTGCTCTGAAAGTATGAGATGTTGATTAGATTTGGACCCTAAGAGCCTTGACTTTCAGCTTCTTTCTCTGTATCTAGTTAGTCCCTGAATCACATGATGAAATTCTTAACTTCAATTCTTTCTGCTTTATGTATGCCATTGCAAATGTTATCTTTACTTCTGTATTATAGCATTTCCAAAACACTCACTCTTCTTAATTCACGACAAGTTTTATTGTGTATATATAGGTAAATTTAACCATATTTTGTTTGAGGTATATTAAGGACTATTAATAAATCTTCTATGAAACAATAAACCTATACTCATTAATTTCAACTGCGCAGAAAATGACACTACTGATTTTGTCTGAGTGATGAGATTTTGGATATTCTTGATATTTGTCTCTCTTTTCCAGTATCTCTTCAATATGTATTATGAGTAACAGAAAAAAAAATTTAATAGGACTATATATTATTGAGATAATTGACTTAAAAGACAGAAAATGGTTTAAATAACATTTTGGTGTTAAGATAATTTATATATAAAAATAATTTGTTACTGCTAGGTCGCTTCAGTCGTATCCGACTCTTTGTGACCCCTTGGACTGTAGCCTGCCGGGCTCCTCTGTCCATGGGATTCTCCAGGCAAGAATACTGGAGTGGGTTGCCATGCCCTCCTCCAGGGGATCTTCTGACCCAGGGATAGAACATGTCTCTCTTGTGTCTCCTGCATTGGTAGATGGGTTCTTTACCACTAGCACCACCTGGGAAGCCTAATTTGTTATTTGTATCATCAAAAACAAAGTAAGCCAATCATTTTGCTTAAGTGAATGATGAGATAATTTAAGAAACTGGCTGTAGGTCCTGACCCATGTATGCCCTATGGGTAAATTTCACTGAGATGTAAAAATGCTGACAACTGATTTTTCTTAAAGTATCTTTTCTTTGCTTAATGACAGTTGCTGTCCTGTTTTTCTGTTTAAGGAACATACGCTATGGACTGTATCACTCACTTTTAGAATGGTTCCATCCTCTCTACCTACGTGATAAGAAAAATGGCTTCAAAACACAGTATTTCGTCCATGCAAAAACAATGCCAGAGCTCTATGACCTTGTTAACAGGTACAAAACAGAAATTGTTTAAGCCTTATGACTTTCATCAATGGCATCTGAGCTGCTTATACTGTTGAGAGGAAGAGGGTAGAGGTGGGATATGAAAAAAACTCTAGAAGACATCAAAGTAATAATGAGTAATCATTGTGTTAAGACAAAGTATGTTTTTCCTTTTTGCTTTTCAAAACTTCTGTAGTTTGGTCATGCTGCCTTTCCAAACTGAAACAAAACTGAGGGTGGTAGTAAGTCAGAACCTCAGTTACCTCCTTCCGTACCATTTTCTTTGTCAGGAGCTTGGAGAAGGGCAACATGGTCTAATGGACCCCACAGAGGGTTTGGCATCTGGCAGATTTGTATTTGAACCCTGGCTCTTGTTGCCCTCAAGCATTTTTTGGGCTGTGCCATGCAGCTTGTATTCTGCATATAAGTTAAATAAGCAGGGTGACAGTATGCAGCCTTGACATACTCCTTTCCCTATTTGGAACCAGTCTGTTCCATGTCCAGTTCTAACTGTTGCTTCCTGACCTGCATACAGGTTTCTCAAGAGGCAGGTCAGGTGGTCTGGTATCCCATCTCTTTCAGAATTTTCCACAGTTTGTGGTGATCCACACAGTCAAAGGCTTTGGCATAGTCAATAAAGCAGAAATAGATGTTTTTCTGGAACTCTTTTGCTTTTTTGATGATCCATATGCAGAGTACATCATGAGAAACGCTGGGATGGAAGAAGCACAAGCTGGAATCAAGATTGCCGGGAGAAATATCAATAATCTCAGATAGGCAGATGACACCACCCTTATGGCAGAAAGTGAAGAGGAACTAAAGAGCATGTTGATGAAAGTGAAAGAGGAGAGTGGAAAAAGTTGGCTTAAAGCACAACATTCAGAAAACTAAGATCATGGCATCTGGTCCCATCACTTCATGGGAAATAGATGGGGAAACAGTGAAAACAGTGTCAGACTTTATTTTTGGGGTCTCCAAAATCACTGCAGATGGTGACTGCAGCCATGAAATTAAAAGATGCTTACTCCTTGGAAGGAAAGTTATGACCAACCTAGGCAGCATATTAAAAAGCAGAGACATTACTTTGCCAACAAAGGTCTGTCTGGTCAAGGCTATGGTTTTTCCGGTGGTCATGTATGGCTGTGAGAGTTGGACTATGAAGAAAGCTGATCACCGAAGAATTGATGCTTTTGAACTATGGTGTTGGAGAAGACTCTTGAGTGTTGGAATGCAAGGAGATCCAACCAGTCCATCCTAAAGGAAATCAGTCCTGAATATTCATTGGAAGGACTGATGCTGAAGCTCCAATACTTTGGCCATCTGCTGCAAAGATTGGACTCATTGGAAGACCCTGATGCTGGGAAAGATTGAAGGCAAGAGGAGAAGGGGACGATGAGATGGTTGGATGCCATCACCAGCTCAATAGACATAAGTTTGAGCAAACTCCAGGAGACAGAGAAGGACAGGGAAGCCTGGCATACTGCAGTCCATGGAGTCGTAAAGAGTCAGACATGACTTAGCCACTGAACAACAATGACCACAACAGCGTGGAGCTCGTGGGATCTTAGTTCCCTGACCAGGGACTGAGGGATCCAACCCAGGCCTTCAGGAGTGAGAGCGCAGAGTCCTAACCACTGGGCCGCCAAGGAATTCCTTTACAAGCCTTAAACAGGTTACTCGTCTGAGTCTCAGATTCTCAGTCTGTAAAGTGATAATAATGCCTTCTATGTAGGGCTCAGCATAATATATGAAAAGTTTCTATCACTATGCCTGGTACAGAATAATAGTGACTTTATTATCATTAATTATCCTTAAAATGATGACTTTCACTTTGGGGTTTGTCACTAGTCTTCACCACGTTTTATTCTGCATTTGTCATTCTTGCTCCTGGGGACCCTTAGGAGGATGGTGGACTTTAAAGATAAAGAGGCAGCCGTCTGTGCTTGGACGCTCACTGTAGACCAAAAGAGGACAAAACTCCTTGCATCCAAATGACTGCTGTAAGGAAACAGTACAGTTGTAAGAAACCAATCAGCACAAACTTCAAGTCAGAAATCCAGTTCTTTTTTTCTTACTGACTGTATAACCTCGAACAAACAATTTAATCTTTCTATGGCTCAGTTTCTTTACCTGTTTATACATCATAGGGTGTTGTGAGAATGAATGAGGTTAATGAGTTAAAGTGCCTAGTACAATCTTTCGTACACAGTAAAACACACACCATCTGTGTTTCTCTCTCCTCTTAGGCAGCCTTTTTCCTGGACTCAACCTGCTGACCTAAGCGTTTACAGAGTACAGGGCACGATTAGCTAACAGGCAGATTTACATATGGGTTCCAGCTCCTATTACTTACCAGCTTTGCACCTAAAACAAAGTTACTGATCATTACATTCTTGCTTTCTTAAGTGGGACTAATACTGCTTACCTTAGAGGTATAAATACACACACTCATAGGGCTCAAAGTAGTAAATATGTGAAAGATGCAACTGTGGTTTAAGTAAGCTCAATAGATTTTTAAGATCAAAGCTCTGGGTAGTTGTGCCCAAAAATGCATTTGACAGAACAGTTCAAGATCTTAACACATCTTAAAAGCAGAAACAGTAATCCTATAGTTCTGGAGCACTACCCTTTTCATTGGAATTAGTTTCTGGAAGGAAATCAAATTGTATACACTCTGATTACAGCTCTACTTTTTAATTTAAGACATTGAAAAAAAAGATTGGGAAAAAATACACCAAAATGCTGTGTATTAAACTGTGGTTGTGTTAGCTCAGGGGGCTGTGTGTGGTCATTTTCATCTCTTTATAGTTTTCCATTTTCTTTGCACCATGGTACTTTGAAAATAGGAGGAAATTAATTTTTTAATATGTGTGGCAAAGATAGATCGGTCAGACTTGACTGTGACTGGATTCAGCTGATAAACTTTGTTGTGATTGTGTGTCTCTCAGGTATAAACCTGACTTGATTTGGTCTGATGGAGAGTGGGAATGTCCTGATACTTATTGGAACTCTACAGGTTTTCTTGCTTGGCTCTACAATGATAGCCCAGTTAAGGTATGTGATTAAAAGACCTCTCTTATTTATCTCTTATGATAAAACACAATGTGAGGAGCCAAGATCTGGAGTAATAACCGTAATGACAACAGTGACAATAATAAATACTAATCTCAGGACTTCCCTGGGGATCCAGTGGTTAAGACTGCCTTCACCTTCCAATGCAGGGGGTCCAGGTTTGATCCCTGGTTGGAGAGCTAAGATCCCATGTGTCTTGAGGCTAAAAAAACAAAACATAAAACCAGAAACAATATTGTAACAAATTCAATAAAGACTTTAAGTAAATAAATAAATAGCAATATTGATATGGGTGTGGTAGGGACAAGGGAACTTAATGGATGTTAAAGGTTTCTCCTTTAATTCTTTTTTTTGCCCCTTCCTTTTTCTTTCTTTAAGCTGTTTTCCTTTAAGCTTTCTTTTTCTCCTTTAATTCTTGACTTTTATAAGATAGTTTTCAAGCTTCTTAAATTTAAGTAGTAGGATAGAAATAGTATAAAGAACCTCCAGACCACCATAGAGAAAATAAACTATTAAGCAAACAGACATTGTAAATGAGAAAACCACCCAAAAAATTAATATACAAAACTTGTTAAATGATAGGAATAAAATATGAATATCTATGACCTCAGATACTCTATGTTGGTTGTGTAGTTTAACTCATATAGGGAAATTTCTTTTCCATGAGATCCAAATTCTAAGGAATTTGGAAGGAAACTTCACCTACCTTGTCCTCTCTGTCATAACCAACCTATTGCACTGCACAATAGCTGCCCGTTTATAGTTCGCATTTCAAGACACAAAGTAGCAGAAGTCTTAATCTTCACTGTAGAAAATTTGAAAAATTTTACAGATTCTAGCTTTGTTGTGAATTTAAAAAAAAAACCTAAGACCAGTTTGAACTGAGCTATCTGGGTAGGTTCATAAACCTCTTAGGATGTCACTGGCTAAATATTACTAATTCAGAAAAGGGGAAGAAAGATCCCATGTGACAAATGGAAGCAAATTCAGATTGGTTTTTTGGAACTTTGGGGCCGCGTGGGGACCTCTAGTGGTGAGATCTGGTGGTTCTTCCCCGGTGGTCCCCGGGCTGGGGTGGCTTAGATGTGGCTCCTCGGGTGGGACACCGCAGACCCTCTTTTGCCCACTCTTGTTCTGAGTGCTTTCGCATGCGTTAGGAAAGAGGGTTGTCATATACTCATGTTAGGAAATGACTTTTAGGAGAAGTAGACCCTGATCCTTACCCCTCTGCTGTCTGTAATTCCCACTCCTGACCTCTCTGCAGGTTTTCTTGGGAAGTCACACCTTCCCCACCACCCTATCTAAAATTGCAGCATGCCCCCACTGCGCTATGTGTCTTTCCTTGCCTTATCTTTCTCTTAACCACCTACCTGGCCCAACATATTTCAGATACCATTTACCTCGTTACTATGTCTCCCTCACTGAAGCATCACCTTTGTGAGGGCAAGAATTTGGGTCTGTTCATACCTACGTCCCCAACTCCAGGAACAGTCCTTGGCACAGTTAGACACAGAGTGAGTACTGGTGGAATATAAACTAAATCTGGCTCCCGGCAATTTATATTCTTCCCTGGAAGAAGCAAGAAGCACTCCTGAACTGGTGTTTAGGTGAATTCCCTAACACTGATGTGATGTCACATCATAACTGTCCATGTGTATGTCTCAGCTAGTCACTGCTGGACCTCTGAGGGCAAGAGGTGTGACTTGTTTACTCTGGATACCCCAGTATGAGCCGCATAGAGGTGTTAAACGTTGATATTAAGCGATTTCATGTAAAGATTTCTCGAAGTTCAGCAAAACCTTGAGGGAAAGAAAAGAATGTTTGATTACTGACTTCGCCTTACTTAGGTAAAGAAAGTCAGGGTTATATACTGAAAAGCATCCTGGGCTGGGTTCAAAAACCAGATTCATAGTCTCAGCTTTCAGAAACTCTGCCTGGGAATGTGATCTCGGGCAGATCTCCTCTGCATTTCTCTTCTGTTAGAATCAGTGCTTTACTAGATAATCTAAACAGGCCCTTCCAGTTCTGACATTACATATTGCTAGACCGGGGTTAACTGCAAATAACGTTTGGAGTGGGATATTTCTTTGTTGTGAAGGGACAGTTTTCTGTGTTGTAAGATGTTTACAATTTTTTTTTTCCCCACCACACCATGCGACCATGCGGGATCTTAGTTCCCAGACCAGGGATCAAACCCCTACCCCCTGGCAGTTGAAGTAGGGATTCTTAACCACCCGACCAGGGGATTCCCTTGCAATGTGTTTAGAAGAATCCTTGGTCTCCGCCCACTAGAAAGCAGTAGCCCCACCCCGAGTTGTGACCACCAAAAAAGTCTCTAGATTTCGCCCTTTAAGTCTCCCCAAGTTGAGAACCACTGTGCTCAACTGAGTCTGCTCCTTGCTTCCAAACAGGTACCTAATTTATCAAACTGAGTTAGATAGTTTTACCCCCGATGACCTCAGTACTCCTTCCTTCTTTAGGATGAGGTCGTAGTAAATGACCGATGGGGTCAGAACTGTTCCTGTCACCATGGAGGATACTACAACTGTAAAGATAAATTCCAGCCAGAGACCTTGCCAGATCACAAGTGGGAGATGTGCACCTCCATAGACCAGCGGTCCTGGGGCTACCGTCGCGACATGGAGATGGCTGACATTGCAAGCGAATCCACAATCATTTCGGTAAGAGGTGGTTATTTGTTAACTGCAGTCCTAGTCTGCCTTCTGACAAATAGTGGTGGAAGCACTCCGGATAGACATGTGGGCCGTGGAAACCCGTTTGGGTTATTGAACATACTCATAACACTTGTCCTAAGGAGACAGGTCTAATTACAGAAGAGTTCTGTACAGAGGTGTTCTCCCCATGATTATTTTCAGATTGACGCTGCTGCTGCTAAATTACTTCAGTCGTGTCCGACTCTCTGTGACCCCATAGACAGCAGCCCACCAGGCTCCCCCGTCCCTGGGATTCTCCAGGCAAGAACACTGGAGTGGGTTGCCATTTCCTTCTCCAGTGCATGAAAGTGAAGTCGCTCAGTCGTGTCTGACTCTTAGCGACCCCATGGACTGCAGCCCACCAGGCTCCTCCGTCCATGGGATTTTCCAGGCAAGAGTATTGGAGTGGGGTGTCATTGCCTTCTCCGTCAGATTGACGTTGGGCTGTTTCAATTCCTGGCAACCATCAAGGAATAATTCAGTAGATTTGGGATGTAATATGGATTAATGCTTACAGGGTTGATGAAAAGACAAGTTATATAGTATCACAACAATATAGAATTAACTGCACAAGAAAAAGACCAGAAGGAAACATCAAAAGTTAATGGTGTGGTGTCTTTGGGGTACTCTAAAAAAAACCTCCTTTTAAAAATTTTATGTATATAGCCTTAATTTTTCTGGACTTCCTTGAAGAGCTACTGTATGGGGTCACAGTAAACACACACACACACATGCATCCCATCCCAGAAAACTTAAAGACTATATCTCTTTACAGCATGTTTTCCTGAAGGGGCAACATACACATTTATATAGCCCAGAGTATCCTGAAATTCATCAGATCTCTTCCACACCTCCCTGCCCGCCCGCCCCCCCCACCATCCCAAGTCTCCATAGCACCTGCTCTAAACCTCTCATCTCTAATCTCTGTATTCTCTCTGGCTGGCTCCACAGAATCCTTTCAGGGCACCCGCCCCACCATCCCAAGTCTCCATAGCACCTGCTCTAAACCTCTCATCTCTAATCTCTGTATTCTCTCTGGCTGGCTCCACAGAATCCTTTCAGGGCCAAGTGCTTTGTTTTCAGCTCCCTGGCTGACACTCTGGGCTTCTGATATCTGATACACTTCCCTCTGCATATGGCACTATGGCAGGTGCCAGCTCACGGGTAAGAGCCCATGATCACTCCCTGGAATCCGAGTTAATATATCTCTCAACCTTGTAGCAGAAATTTTCAATTTTCTCATGTAAGCCTATCCTGCTATGAAAATGACAAAAATATACTGTCTTTTCCAAAAGATAGAGGATATTCACAAAACACAGGGAAACCAGCCTAGATTCTCCTTCCCTTCATCTGTGTGTGTTAAGAATTCAGCCAGGCTTGGCATTCAGAGCTGGAATTTCCTTGTTTTCTGCTCCCACCAGGAACTAGTTCAGACAGTAAGTTTGGGAGGCAACTATCTTCTCAACATCGGACCAACCAAAGATGGACTGATTGTTCCCATCTTCCAAGAAAGGCTACTTGCTGTTGGGAAGTGGCTGAGCATCAATGGAGAGGCTATCTATGCCTCCAAACCATGGAGAGTACAATCTGAGAAGAACTCTGTGTGGTGAGTCTAGTCTGTTACAGGTAGGAACAGGGGTGGCCCATCCTGAGCAGGCAACCCCTTGGGTCCACAGTGGTACAAGCCAGGCTTGGGACTCATCTGGAGGAAACACAAAAGCTGTTCTGTGATATTAAATGTGTGCCCAGGTTTATGTTTTAGGCCCCAGGGTATCTTTGACTAGTGAGGGAGGTGGTAGGTTTGGTGAAGAAAGAAAGAGCTACAAAGTATCAGTCAATTTGCTCAACCCCTAAAAACAGTCATAGCTAATATTTGAACAGCACCCACATGTGCTGGACTCCATCCTAAATTCTTTCCCCTCATTTAGTTCCCCCAACAATCTCACTGAGTGGATAATGTCACTATCCCTAGGTTACAAGGAGAAAGCAGGTTCAGGGCAGTAATCATTGGCCCAGAATTATGAAGCTACTAAGCAAAGAAGGCATGATTCATATTTGGCATTGTGGATCTAGTTATTTGATCTCAGGCTTCAGTTTTTTTTGTTTCCAACTGCAAAATGGGGTGATGATACCTAGCTTCCTAGAGTGTTAGGATTAAATAAGCTAACGTATGTAAAGTACCCAGCAGAGTGCCAGGCACATACTAACTGCTCAGTGAAAGACCTCTGCAAATGTTATAACTCAGAGCCGGGGGCTTTGAATCAGGAGAAACACATTCATGGTTCTGTTTTGGATGAGTTTCTATTTAGTGATTTTTTTCACCCTCTTCTATAAGCATGGGCTTCTGTGGTGGCTCAGATGGTGAAGAATCTGCCCACATTGAGAGAGATCCAGGTTCAATCCCTGGGTTGGGAAGATCCCCAGGAGAAGAGAATGGCTACCCACTCAAGTATTCTTGCCTGAAGAATTCTGTAGACAGAGAAGCCTGGCAGGCTGCAGTCCATGGGATCGCAGAGTCGGACATGACTGAGTGATTAAACACAGCATGCACAGTTAAGCTCTGTGGGAATAATGCAGCCCTGGAAGACTTTCTGGGCGGTATCTTCCCTTTCCTCTCTGTTTGGGGTTCTAAGTTTTCTTAAAACATTTTTTAACTCATACTAGTGACCCATACTGAAGCCATCTTCCTCATTATTCATCTTTTTTCAATTTTAAATCCATATGAAAACATCTGAGGGTATATCAAGGGCAAGATGTGCAATGAAGACAAATTTGAATTCCTTTCTAAAATTTAAAATTTTTGGTCATCCCACGTGGTTTTGGGGATCTTTAGTTCCCCGATCAGGGATCAAACCAAGGCCGATGGCAGTGAAAGCGTCTAGTTCAATCCACTGGGCCACCAGGGAAATTCCCAAGACAAATCTGTTGTGCTGAGATTTCACCATGCTTAAAGAAAGTGAAAGTGGGGGGGGGAGTGAAAGTATTAGTCACTCATCGTGTCCAGCTCTTTGCAACCCCATGGACTGTAGCCCACCAGGCTCCTCTGTCCATGGGATTCTCCAGACAAGAATGCTATAGTGGGTTGCCATGCTCTCCTCCAAGGGATCTTCCCAACCTAGGGATCGAACCCAGGTCTCCTGCATTGCAGGCAGATTCTTTACTGTCTCAGCGACAGGGAAGCCCAAACCCTAACTGGTTTCGAGTTATTTGCTTGCTAGCAGCAATGACAGACTGAAGGGCTTGTAATTGGCAGATAATCGCAAGGGGAATATATAAGGTCATGTGGCAGGATAATAAGCCAGGTATCTTTGACAATGATGTTTCTTTTTTCCCAGGTATACCTCTAAAGGGTTAGCTGTTTATGCCATTTTACTGCACTGGCCAGAAGATGGAATCTTAAGCCTTATATCCCCCATAACTACTTCAACCACAGAGGTAAAGAGCCTCCATCAGTCCTGTCGGAGATGTAACTCTTTGTAAAGGAATTGGCGGGCCTTCTCTAAACCTTCCTTCCTCCCCCAGGTTTCTCCTGTTTTCATTTCCCTTCTGGCCTGTCTTCCCCACCCTGGCCCAGGGTAGTTGTTTGCCACCATATTCAGGCCATATTCTGTGCTCATCAATGCATTTGTGTTTTTCCCATTCCCTTTTGCTTTCTGCAGGTAACGATGCTGGGAATCCAAAATGATCTGAAGTGGTCCCCAAATCCAGGTAAAGGTCTCCTCGTGTTCCTGCCCCAGTTACCACCCTCTGCTCTTCCAACTGAGTTTGCTTGGACCATAAAGCTGACAGGAGTGAAGTGATCATTGGAGTTCAAGAAGAAAGGGACACCGCCTGCACTTTGATTTTCCTCTTATATTGCCATCATTATAATAAATGACTCTTCTCTACTCAGACATATCTTTTCCAACACATTTTAATAAATGGAATGGATTACGTTACACTGATGTCTCACAGGATCAAAGATCTGAGATCCAGTGCTAGCATCTCTCTCTCTGATCAATAGAAGAGACTGAACAGTTAAGCTCATCCATTTCTAACATTGGGAATTATCTGCAATGGAAACTTCCCTCCATCCTCTGTTTCATAACCTGATTGCTTATTCAAATGACTTCAAGAATAAGCCAAGTCATCCCATTGCCTATGGGAGGTGCTGAAAAGGATTTGGCAGACTCTACTATACGCTATTTATTTAGCATCAGCTGTCACCAGCTACTCCCATCTTCCCCCAAGAGCAGGAGAGCCTAGAGGGGAAAGAAAATGCTTCCAAGGCTGCTAATAGTCAGCTTTTTAGAAGTTTCCAAAGCAAACTAAGAGCTCTGACATTCAGTCTGTTTACAGGGATTCTATGAAGAAAATGAATGTGATTCTGCCTTGATGTAATACAGTCAAATAAATTTGTATGTCAAATCATTTTCTACTAAAAAGCATGTTGTAGCTTGCTTCTTCCAGTTTCTATATGGACTGCTTATAGCCTTATGTTTCTGTTTAAAAAGAAAAAAGAAAAGTAGAAGGGGTGGTACCTGCCAAGTCTCCTTAATGCAGAGCAAAGAAAGTCATCCCTTTGGTTCTTCTGCTCCTCACTTCTAGTCCCATTCTTTTGAGTTGACCAGGTGGCATCAGTGGTGAAGAACCCACCTGCCAATGCAGGAGACGTAAGAGACGCAGGTGTGACCCCTGGGTTGGGAAGATCCCCTGGAGAAGGGATTGGCCGCCCACTCCGGTATTCTTGGACTTGCCTAGTGACTCAGATGGTAAAGAATCCGCCTGCAATGCGGGAGACCTGGGCTTGATCCCTGGGTTGGTAAGATCCCCTGGAGGAGGGCGTGGCAGCCCACTCCAGTGTTCTTGTCTGAAGAATCCCACGGACAGAGGAGCCTGGCGGGCTACAGTCCATGGGGTCTCAAAGAGTCGGACACGACTGAGCTGCTAAGCGCAGCACAGCACGGCACTCAGCACATGCCTGCATCTACTCAGTCTCTTTAATTGTTTCAGATCTAATAAAGGTTTCTATCTCTTTTTTATTTACTAGATGTATTTGGAAACCCTTAGCCTATATTTACAGAAAATTTGTTTTTCTCAAGCGTATGTGTATGAAACATTTACAAATGTGAATACCAAAGAAGTAATATCATAAGGACTGTATCATATGTCTGTAACATAAAGGACCATAAAAACTTGAAGGAAAAACTAATATGTTTAGAAATTTTAAAACACACTTTTAAATAGTTATTGATCAAAGAAAGCACAAGAAAATTAGAAATCTCTTATAATGATAATGAAAACGCTATGCATTGAAACTTGTGAAATGTAGCTTTTAAGAAAAATTGCTTTAGAGAGGGTTCCAGGAAGATGGCAAAGAGGAAGCACCAAGAATCTATTTCCTCACCTAGAAAACAATTTCACTGGCAGAATCTGATGTAACTTTTGAAACTGGAAGCTACTGAAGGCTTGCAATTTCTAGAGGAATACCTGGATGGTAAATTATGGTTAATTCTGGTCAGTTTCAGCTACCCATCCCTCACCCCTAATCATGGAGTACACAGCTGTGTGTGTGTTCCTGGAACAACTTGCATATAGTCTATGAGATCAAGATGGGCAAAAGACCCTGTCGTCCAAATATCAGGGATTTGGGCTCTTTTTGTTGGGGGGGGGGGGGGCGCGGATTTGTGCTCTTGACTGCTGCTTTTGATCACAGAGGTGCAGGCGAGAGGTGGGCAAACCATTGTACCTTTCCCGTTGTTGCAAACCCCTCCTCCAATAGCTAAAGTAACTTACAGTGGACTTAAAGGGCTGGTGCTCATTCCCCACCCCCAGTTTCCTTTTCTTCCCCCTTCTGGGAGCTAGACATTAAAGGTTAGGAAATCCAACAACTGCTCATATGGGAAATATTAGAAAGTGACCATGTCTGCCTGTGGAAAGAGTCAGGAAAAGGCCTGAGAAGACCTTAAGTTTACACCTCTGACTTAGCCTTGGCACAGAGACAACCTACAACAATCAACAAGGAAAAAAGCAATGGACAAAAACAGTAACAAACCCAGCAAACCCTGGGGAAGGAGAATCTGGACTTCCAGAGTTGCTACATTATTAGATTCAAATGTCCAGTTTTCAACAACAACAAAAGTCACAAGACATACAAAGGGACATGAAAGTATGACCCACTCAAAAGGAAAAAGTAAATCAACAGAAACTTCCTGGAAAAGACCTGATGGCAGATATACCAGACAAAGACTTAAAAAGAACTCTTTTTAAAATGCTCAAATAACTAAAGGAAAATGCAGAGAAAGTAAAGAAAAGGATGTATGTGTGAAATGAATATATCAATACAAGGAAAATGTAACAAAAATTCTGGAGCTGGAAAGTAAAATACTGAAATGAAGATTTCACTAAAGGAATTCAAGGGCAGATTTGATCAGGCAGAAGAAAGAACAGCAATAAGACAGTGGAAATTATTGAGTCTGAGGAACATAAAAAAAGATAGAAAAAAAATACCATCTATTTGGCCGTGAATTAGTCTCAGTAGATTTATTAAATATATATTTTTCAGAGTATCTTCTGTGACCACAACTAAATGAAGCTCGGGCTTCCCAGGTGGCTCAGTATTAAAGAATCTGTTGGCCAAGGCAGGAGCCACAGGAGACTCGGGTTTGATCCCTGGGAGGGGAAGGTCCCCTGAAGGAGGAAAGGGCAGCCAACCCCAGTATTCTTGCCTGGAAAATTCCATGGACAGAGGAGCCTGGTGGGCCACAGTCCATAGGGTAGCAAAGAGTCAGACACGAGTGAGCGACTAAGCAGGCACACAAATGAAGTCCAATATCAATAACAGGAAAAACTGGAAAATTCACAAAACTGTGGAAATTAAACAATGTAACTCTATCAAAGAGATCACAAAGAAAATTAGAAAATACTTAGACATGAATGAAAACAAAAACATAACATACCAAAATTTATGGGACCCAGAAAAAGCAGTGCTGAGTAGGAAATTTATTGGTATAAACACATTTCAAAAAAAAGAAGAAGATGTAATTAGCCTCCAACTAATAAAAATAAATGAAAAAAATTTTAAAAAAAGAAGAAAGATTTTAAATCAACAACCTAACTGTAGAACGGAAGGAACTAGAAAAACAACAAACTAAAACCAGTTAGCAGAAAGAAGGAAACAAAGATTGGAGCAGAGATAAACAAAAAATATAAAAGCAATAGAGAAAATCAACAAAACCAAAAATTGATTCTTTTTTAAGAAATTGAAATAACAAGCTTGTAGCTAAGTGTACTAAGAATTGGTGAAGACTCAAATTACTAAAATTAGAAATGAAAGTGGGGACATTACTACCAATTCTACAGAAGAATTACAAGAAGAACTATGAACAACTGTATACCAGCAAATAGGATAACCTAGATGAATGTGGACAAACTCCTAGAAACACAAAATCTACCAAGACTAAATAATGAAGGAATAGAAAAATATGAATACCATACAAACCTTTAAGTTGTAAACCAGGAGTGAGATGGGGCGCCAAGTGTCACTGTTAATATTCAGTGTTGTTTGGGTTGGAAGGTCCTCATAGATGCAGTAAAACAAGTTAAAAAAAAGAAAACAGAGATCTAAGAATCAGAAAAAATGAAACTACACAATCATTGTTCTTGGATGATGTGATTGTTCACATAGCAAACTTCAAAGAATATATACAAATAAATTATTAGAATTAGGTAAATTCCCTGGTCGTCCAGTGATTAGGGCTTGTTGCTTTCACTGCGGGGACCCAGGTTCTACCTCTGATAGGGGAACTAAGATCCCACAAGCTATGTTCAGTTCAGTTCAGTCGCTCAGTTGTGTCCAACTCTTTGCAACCTCACGGACCGCAGCACACCAGGCCTTCCTGTCCATCACCAACTCCCGGAGTTTCCTCAAACTCATGTCCATTGAGTTGGTGATGGCATCCAACCATCTCATCCTCTGTCATCCTCTTCTCCTCCTGCCTTCAGTTTTTCCCAGCATCAGGATCTTTTCCAATGAGTCAGTTCTTCACATCAAGTGACCAAAGTATTGGAGTTTCAGCTTCAGCATCAGTCCTTCCAATGAATATTCAGGACTGATTTCCTTTAGGATGCACTGGTTGGATCTCCTTGCAGTCCAAGGGACTCTGAAGAGTCTTCTCCAACACCACAGTTCAAAAGCATCAATTCTTCAGCGCTAAGCTTTCTTTACAGTTCAACTCTCATATCCATACATGACTACTGAATTTTTCCAGTTTCTGGTTTTCCATAGCTTTGACTCAACGGACCTTTGTTGGCAAAGTAACATCTCTGCTTTTTAATATGCTGTCTAGGTTGGTCATAACTTTCCTTCCAAGGAGTAAGCGTCTTTTAATTTCATGGCTGCAGTCACCATCTGCAGTGATTTTGGAGCCCCCCAAAAAATAAAGTCTCTCACTGTTTCCTATCTATTTCCCATGAAGTGATGGGACCAGATGCCATGATCTTAGTTTTCTGAATGTTGAGTTTTAAGCCAACTTTTTCACTCTCCTCTTTCACTTTCATCAAGAGGCTCTTTAGTTCTTCTTTGCTTTCTGCCATAAGGGTGGTGTCATCTGCCTATCTGAGATTATTGATATTTCAATAATCCAGCAATCTTGATTCCAGCTTGTGCTTCATCCAGCCCAGTGTTTCTCATGATGTACTCTGCATGTAAGTTAAATAAGCAGGGTGACAATATACAGCTTTGATGTACTCCTTTCCTGATTTGGAACCAACCTGCGGGATGTGGCCGAAAAAAAGTTATTAGAATTAATAAGATACTTTAGTAGATCATTGGATCCATCAATAAAAAGCAATTGCACATCTACAGTACAAAAACTAGAAAACAATGAAAAATATGTTTGCCTTAACAGTTATAAAGTATTACCTAAAACAATATTTACAAAAGTTGTGCAAGAGACTCAACAGCCGAAGCTTCAGTTTCGGCCTCTTAAGTTTTCCACCACAGTTTCCCCCAGAAGACGACGGAGGGGCAACAAGATCGCTCCAGGCAGCTCCTGGGACCTTTTGGACTCCGACACCACAGTCTCCCCGACTGTATGGAGCGTCCCCAGTAAACCACGATGGGAGAGTCTGAGAACAGATCCGATTCCTAGCAAAGTCACGGCCACAGGTGTGTCCTCAACTTATACATTTCCCAGTGGATACTGAACCTCTGGAATGCTTGGGGGAGAGTGATTCCAGGATGATGCGAATGAAGATGAATAGATTCAAATTCTTAAAGATTCCACCCCAAAGAATGGTTCCAACTCTGTCTTCAGGATTGCATGAAATGTGATGAGTTAATCCGAGATGTTGACTTGATTTCAGGATAGTTCCAATGGAGACCAGAAGATACAACTCCACACAAACTTGAGCTCCAGACTATGTCTCTAACTCTAGGTCACAT